TTTGACAACATGGATATTGATGATCTTGACAAGAGCAATCTCTATGAAGTTGAAGCCTGATCAAAGCGGATTAAGAAGATATTTTAGAAAAGAGGGTGGAGTCAGTATCTATACACAACTCTTTCAGGAAGTTTTACTACAAAGAAAGCAAGAGAAATAGGGCAGTAGCTGGAGTGAGATGTGGGGTCAAGAGAGGTTTTGGTTTTGTGCGTGTGTGTGCGTGTGTGTTTAGAGAAAGGATGCTAGAGCATATTTATATACTAATGAGAATGATCTGGTAGAAAAGGGGAAACTAATTATCCAAGAGAGAATATAATTATAGAAAAGGCCTTGAGAGGTAAAGGGTTAGGATTCACAGCCTAAGTAGGGAGGTTAGTTTCGATGGGAGGAGACGCACAGTACGGCCACAGGAGGGAAGGCAGAGTACACAGTATGCAGGTAGGTTGGTAGATTTGTGGTAGAAAGGTGACGATGTTACTATGTGAGTAGTTTTATTTTACCGAGATGAAAATCAATATGGGGAATGGGGAAGGAGTAAAGGTTGGAGGAGAGAGGTGTAAGTAGTCGGAAAGGGGGGAAGTGAACATGGATACGTAGATACATGTATATACACTTAAACGCATAGTCAATGGGCATTTGTGTGTAGTTAATACACCACAGGAAAAAGACCTATCGTATAAACTATTTATTGTAAAGCCATTTTTACTAAATATTTTTGAGACATCTTATTTGGAAGACCTGAAACTGAATTCTCTGCTTTCCAAGGACTCTGATAACAGAATCCTCTTTTCCATAACATAGAGATTAAGTGAGGACTTCTCAATGCCATAGATACTTCTCATGTTTTATTACTTATTTTTGTCTATTACAGAGTAAAAGACAGAAACATTTTGTAGTATTCTGTTATAATTCAAAGCCTATGAAAATTAAAATTACTTTAATCCTGAAAGATGTATATGGTATACTCAAGCTGTCAGTTTTCTCCAAACACTATTTCAGAGGGTTTTGAGCCCCCATCTGAATTTAAAAAGAAAAAAAAAGGCAAACAGGCTCTAATAGTCTAGTAAAACAACACTTTTGTTTTCCTATGAAAAACATCAGTCATTTAGGAGAAACACACAGGCAATATGGTGGTTTTGTTCATTGTGCCCTCCTTATCCGACAGGATGTGATCTTGCTGCTGTGCTTGGAGCTTTACTTCTGGGTGGCTGTATGTAATTCAATGTGTTGGAATTTATAGGTACATACTTATTCTTTGGATTTGATGTAAAATTAGATTGTGAATAATGGAATAAGATTTCTCTCCATTTTTTTGCTGTTTTAGCATAGCCAAAAACATAAATATATATGTGTACATGTAAATAGGTATTTGATTAAACACTTAATACTTAAATGACCATGTCAAATATTAAATGTAGATGACAACAGTTGCAGTGTATTCAAAATAAAAGAATAGTTATGAAAATCTTTGTAGCACAAATCCTAAAAAGCTTATTGATTTAATACTAAATAGTACATTTATATAAAATACCGAGAAAACATCTGTCTAGATTGAGACATTTAATCCTTCATAGAGCAATACTTGACTAATGAAAAACTGCAGCTGAAACATTTTCCTTCCTCTAAGTATGAATATGATTTTTAAAATGTATCTTTGTAACCTGTCATAAAGTTATTTACCATTACTTATGCACCCATCCACTCTTGCAAAGGAGGAGGAGATCTCTCCGTGAGAACAAGGACGTGCAGCACTGCTGCTTTTCCTCTCTGGAATCCCGTCACTATTCAGGGCTTCAGCACATGCTTCCACTCAGGTTCCTCACACAGCTCTGTGCTCTTTTCTGGCTGCACCACCATGTGATAGAGACAGAAACACAGTAAAAGGGTGTTAACAATAAAACTGCAACCCTAACTATTATCTACTTCACTATAACAGTGAGGTATCCAGACCTACTTGAAGTGGTATTGTTTTCATCTTATAAAAAATCTACTGTAATATTATGATGTTCCATGTAAATTTTCATGTGCTGGCATGCTTACAAGTTAGTAGTGTTATAGAATGCTCAGCTCTCAGTGAGGGATTGTGGTGAATTGCATTACATATGTCATCTATCCATTTGCTGAAAGAATATGGTGTTTAGCAAAACTACCTGCTGAGCAACATAATAAGACTTTTGTACAGAGTACAAATTACTAATTATTGTATTTTATTTTTCTATGATTTCCTAAGAGGCATTATCAAGGTCTTACAGATGGTGTAAGCCTGTTTATTAAAATATCTATTAGCAAATAAAAGTTACAGTTCTGGTGGTTGAATTTGTGACTTTTTCGTATTGTTTTATTGATGCATATTTAATATAATTTATTTTTTAGTCTATTAAATCTAGATGTTCTTTAGAAACGTTAGTAATTCTGGATACAAAATTAGCTAATTTTTCAAAATAATGTCATTAAGGTCAAGACATAAATTCACATAAATCACTATAAATAACTGGTACACACTTTTGTAGTGATTTTATATCAGGAAAATATTTTGTGAGATTCCAGGAAATTAAATTGTTCATTGCAGAGGTAATACTGTACACAAATGATACCCATGCCCAACTATTCAGCTTTAGACCATCAATATTCACTCCAAAAACTTCCAATAAATTACAAATCAGCAATTTTCTACATTCTTTTAAAAGACATAAAAAGTATTCTGAATTAATCAGACTAGTGCTGTATTCATATCTCTCATCTCTTTTATAATTCTTACCACAGTTTCAAAAGCCAGTATGAAATCAAACGTAGTAATAAAGTACCCGAAACTTTCTTCTCTTACACAGGTATCTTAAGTAGTCTTCAGAAAATCACATACCATTTCTAAAGCTTCTTATTCTCATACTAAAATGAAGAGAGCCACACTAACTTCTTAAATCAAGTGGAACAATTTTCATGTTGAGCCTGAGTGTACTCCTGAGAGCTGGTTCAGTTGGCAAAGCACCAAAATAGCAGATTCAACCATATGAAGTACTGACATTTTTTTAAGGTTGATATTTCCAAAACTGGCATTTTCTATATTATTGAGTAGATTGTAGGTTTCATGACCCCTATTTCATCTCTAACAATAATAAGCCATCACATCAACTACACTTAGCTATTTATTTTTTTTTTTGTAAAAGAATTACGTATCCGCCTAAATTTACTGAAAAGTTGGATATCCAATCTTCCCGTTACATTTCCATTTTCACCATATGTTTTGCACTAAGTAAAAATAGAACTCAACCTAGGGGCAGAAAATATCAACTGCAAACAGGAAAAATTAAATCTATCCACTAAAGTTTCCTGAGACATAAGATTTCTGCTTATCTCCAAGGAAAATATATGTCCAATTCCGGCTATTAGCAAATTAGCTTCCCTCTCTCATCAGAGTGGTTCGCAATACCCAGACACGGAAAAGTAACCAACACCTCCCCGTAAACGCATTCAGTCAGAAGGGAAGGAACGGCAGCATTTACAAATCCTACCCGTATAATCAAGTTCAGAACGGAGGGAGAGGAAACCGTTTACTGAACACCCGCGACGTGCAAACACATACAGCGTATGCTTCTGTTCTCTACCTATTCCTCAAAACCACCAGAGGGGACAAGGCCAGGAAGCCGCAGCGCAGAGAAGGGCCAGTCGGCCTCAGGCCGCACACGCAGGCGGAGTGTATCTCCATACTCCATTTTTACAACAACGTTCGTAAGGCAGTTCTTTTGGACATGCAACTACAGGGGTTTTGTTTCGTGTTTGTTTTGTTCGTTTTTGCCTTTCAACAGATTCACTAACCCAGAATCACATTTTTTTTTCATTATAAAAATAATATAAGCACATCTGAAAATTTTCCAAGATTAACTTTACAAAATTGATTTTCCAAATGGGACTACATCTGAAATTTGGAAAAGTAACACAGGAGAAGCCCCCGTAATCACGCGGCACACTCCCCCTCGTCTGTTTTTTCACCCTCCTGGGGGCGAGGGGGGCTGGGGCGCGGCGGCGGAGGGGCCCCCGCTCCCGGCTACCGGGACGCGTGAACACGCCCTCTGAGGATCGTTCAGGTCACGAACGCCATTCTTCGGGGGTGAGGCTGGGGGGGGCGAGGGCGACTGAAAGGTTGACAAAAATTCCCAGATCTTCACGATTTCTGCCTCCGTGGTCTGCCCGCTGGAAAGCGCAGTAACAGAAACGTGGGCAACGTGCCGGTCAAAACCTCGTGGGGAGGCCCGCCTGTGACTGACTAGAGAAACCCGGGGCTGAAGAGGAGATTCTGTGCTGTCAGCTCCTCCTGACCCGCCCACGTGACCGTGGGGCCGCCCTCTACCCCGAGCCCCGGCCTCGGGACGTGTCCTCGGGACCCCCGGCCAGGCGGGACCAGGCACGCCTCCTCCCCAAGGAGGCCGGGGTCCTCTCCCGCGGCGTTCGCAGCTCTGCTTCTCCAGGACCCCGGGCCCGGGGCTGTCGGACCGCAGAGGTCGGTGCGGCGGCCGCGGAGCGACTCCGGCGCGCCTCCCACCCTGGGCGCGCCGCGTCCTGAGGTGCGGCCACGGCGCAGCGCCCGGCCCGGCGGCGACACTCCCGACAGGCCGTGCGCGCCCGCTCCCGTCGCGCCCCGCGGGGTCTCGGCACCAAGCTCACACTCCCTCGCACTCCCTTTGGTCCCCCTCGGCGAGCCTCGGGCGTCTCCGGGAGCTCTGCGTGCCTCAGCCGGAGCTCGGCGCCGAGTCGCGGAGACCGGGGGGCGTGACCTCGGACCGGAAGGCCCTCCGGTTGCCAGGGCAACGCCTCGCGCCCGCCCCGCCCCCGATGCTCCTGCGGAGGCCGCCGCTCCCGGGTGACCGGCGCGTGGGGCGATTTTGCTCGGACTGGGCTTGGTGCTGTGGGCCTCGGTGCTGTGGGGGCGCCGAGGGCAGGGCCAGGACGCCGGCGCCGGACTCCGTCCCCGAGACGGGCCGCGCCCTCCGCTGTCCCCGGTGGTGGCTCCGGATGAGCGACGGGTGGGAAGAAGCGGGCCTGCGCGGTGAGTCCCGGGGCCCCGGAAGACCCGCTGGGCCGGGGTGGGCGAAGTTCTGTTTGGTTGGTTGGTGTTAACACTGCCCAACGTGGGCGTTTTCATTTGGTGTGTGGGAAGTGTCGTGGAAACGTCACCATCAAAACTGAAAGCCGAGTAAACATGTTTATCTGGGGCGGGAAGCGTGTGCTATAATGCGGGCGAGAACGTTTTCAGGTTTACTAGGTACCGTTCCTGGCGTTTTCTCGGCCGACCACCGGCTCTCTCTGCGGCTTGCCTTTCAAGCTGTCAGCCGGATGACGTCCTGCGCCTTCAGGACCTTGCTGGCCACGGGTAATCCTTTAGGAAGCGGTTTCCCAGAGAACAGCCAGGAGAATTGGATTGGCTGTGTGCAGAGAGACGAATCTGTCAGATGAGAACTGGAGAGGTGGATGGAGCCAGACGGTGGACGGCCTTAGAAGATGCGCGTGAAAGTTTGGACGTGATTCTGGAAGGCAGTAGTTCTCAGTAGTGACTGTAGTCAGAGACATGTTAGCTGTTAAAATACAGATGGCGTCTTCAGAGATACTAACCCAGGAGTTGATTCCAGTGTGCAGCCGCGGTTGAGACTCATGGCTATGGGAGTAGAGCTTCAGAAAACTTGAGTTATGTCTCCCACTGTGCACTTAGGACATGGTACATAAGTGTTGAGTGGCTCGAATTATCTTTTATTTCCTTCTTTCATGCATGCAAAAAGTAAACTTATAGAGTGTATAATTACTAAGAAATAGAAGCGTATATGAGGCTATATGATAGTAGTTTATAAAGCAACTTCAGTAAATGTAATTATATCTTTTAGAACAACTGACTTCTCTTTTAAATTGTACGTCCCAAAATATTTCAATAAGAAGCCTTAGGTGTTTGATAAACTATGAAAAAGGAACGGACACAACCAAAGTTCTTTGAAAAATGAATATTCAAATAGCAAGCTTTTGACAGTTGATGCTTTAGAGTAGATGCCCACAGGGGATGATGTGAGAAGTGGTCATATTTTTAAAAATCTGTTCAAATTTGTGTGGAAAACATGATGTAAGCCTTTATAACAATATATTTAGTACAATAAGTAACAAAGTGAGTAATAGCAAGTTTACTTTGAATTAAAATGATCTATGTGAATTGTTTCATGATATCAGAAGGCTAACTTAAAGTAGACTCTACAAATGCCTGTCCTTAAGCTGAGATTTGGAGGAATGGATTGAATGAGGTTTGATTCTCCAACACAAGGAGAAAAGTCGATTCTGGTGACACAGATGGAGTACCTGTGATCTAACCTGTCCCTTGGGTAAGACACTGTGGCTCTGATACAGACCCCACGCTTGGGTGGGGCACTGCCCCTTCTCTTTTCTGCACATTATTGGAATTCAGTTTTGAAATTTCCATCCATAATGACCTCCCAAGGGCCCTAAGCAAGTCGACGATGCAGCCTTCTTTTAGATGCAGTAGTCTTGAGAGCCTCTTATGGTTTAAATTGCTGCAGCCTCACGTCCTTCAGGGTATGGCCTTGCCTGGGATGGTATGGGATAAAAAATTCTGAAGGAGCTGTGAGATGACAGGCTTCTGGAAGCTTAGATGGAAGTGAGAATAAATCAATTAAATGAGATTAATGTATAGGGAACTTTGAAAATGATGGTTCAGAGAGTAGTGGGAAATATTTGGAACACAGGTGTATTGTGGTTGCTGCTGTAGTAGTTCCCGCAGCAGTTGAGGGCTGGCAAAAGGGGTATCTCTCTGCTGCCACCACATAATAATGTTTTGGGGGGTGATGGACCCAAAGGGAGCGCCTTCAGAGGGATATGAACAGCCATAAAATTACCCTAGAGCAGCAATCTGTCATCAGCAGTTTTATTTGACTTCAAGATACTTCTGTGTTTGGATTACTGATGGAGTTTTTTTTTTAATTTGTATTGGAAGGATTTTTTTTTCCAAAGAAAGAATTAATAAACAAATGCACACTTCAGGGACAAGTTAACAAAGAAACTTTTACAGTATTTGAGAAAACTAGATTAAAATCTAAGATTGGTATTTACTTTCTTATTCTTTGCTAGTATACCTGTTAAAGTTCTTTTAAAATAATACTGAGGATATTTCATATAAGTTACAGTTTTAAGAAAACAGATATTTATTAAGGTTCAATAAAATTGTGTGTATTTTATACATAACCTTCCTAAATGGATTTGTGGAGACTTACAAAGATGTGTGTAAAGTGCAAGGGAAAATTAAGGTAAATATATCAGTTAGGATTCTTTGTTTCTACTGATAGAAAACACAGCCAAACTAGATATAACCAAGCAAACAAACAAAAACAGTGAATTTAATACTTGTTACTTCATTTATTGCAAAATACGACAATGGGGCTGGCTTCAGAAAAAGATATAGCCAATGTCTCCAATGATGTAGCCAAAATCTCAATTTTTCTGTTTTTCTGGGCTGCCTTCTACTTTCTAAGCTTCAGCATCAGGCTCTACGTGAACCTCATTGCCCTACAGTGTTCCAGATTTCCAGAAAACTCTGCAGATATTTTCAAGGATCACAAATGGCAGACTCCACATTATACTGAGTTTAACCACATTTTTTTCTTAAATATTATAAATTACAATGAAAAATGTACAGTTATTTCAAGGACATTATTCTCTGTCGCCAGAGGTTATAAGCTGCCAATCTGCATTTCAGTTAAGGCTCCTTTCTGATAATCAGCTTAAGCCCTGTTTACTAAATGCAAAGCTACATTGACATGGTTTTCACAATATCATTATGTCTTTAAATTATTAAATTTTTTGATACAGATGCTCATATTTTCCCTACTTAAGGTACCTGTGGGTAACGTAACTTTTTTTTTTTTCCTGACTTGCAGCTGGTTTGTAAATACTTGAATCACGTTATGGGATTGTTAGACAGACTCTCAGGCTTGCTTGGCCTGAAGAAGAAGGAGGTTCATGTTTTATGTCTTGGGCTGGATAACAGTGGCAAAACAACCATCATTAACAAACTCAAACCTGCAAATGTGAGTATCTGTGTTAGGTGCTTTATGTGTTCTCTACCGGAGAAAGTTAACGTACAGAATTCGTTTGTTTGCCATTATAACTTCATATAATCTTGTTATGAAATCCTTGTAGTACCTTAAAGTGGTGTCAGTCAGCCATAATGTGCAGTGTATTTTATGTGGGGATACAGGTACATCTTGATTATTTAGACTGGAATATTTTCCAAGTGTCTTTTTTCCTCAAAATAGCCTCACAAATTTGCCGAGTTTACTTTCAGGTAGCATTGTCTTCTTTTTGGCTCCCTCTTAACAAGAGGAGCAAAACAAAGGGAAAGTGACTCATTGTTATAGGTTCTATGAGTAATTAGACAGTTTCCCAAGAGTGTGGTATGCATACCTGTAGCAGTGAGTAAGATGACTTTAAGTCATTTAAGTAATAAGTATATGAACATATTATTTTAATAACTGAAAAACATGTAAGCTAGCACATTCAACACATGATGCAGAAGTTCAAGTCAGGTTCTGCTTCATATAAAGAAAACCCACATAACAGTGGACTAAATAAGACAGAGCCTTCTTTTTCTGTTGTCTAAATAAGCCCAGAGGAGGTGTCCACACTGATGTGGCAGCTGCGTGGTCCTGCGAGATCCTGGCATCTCCCATCTTTCTGCTCTGCGTCCTTAGTGCCTGGTTTTATCCTCAGGATCTCCACATGGTGACCTTGTTAACTATCATGTCTATGTTCTCAGTCACAGGAAGGAGAAAAGAACAGGGCAAAAGAATAGGCCTTCTTGCTAAGTAGGCCCTCTTGAAAGAGCTTACCCAGAAGCCCCACTAATGACTCTCACCTACACCTCATTGGCTGCCCCTATCTGTCCATGAGGCTAGAATGTTTTTTTTTTTAAAGCAGAGTGTGTTGCTACTTCCAAAAATAGTAGGGGTCCTGTAAGTAAGAAGGGGAGAATGGATATTGGGTAGAAAACCAACATTTACAGTTGTAAATACATTTATTCAGGTAAAAACCGTCAGTTAATGAAAATTATTGAATAAAAAAATAATATAGACTGCATACAGAAAGAGCAAAAATTAGGAAGCTGGTTCTCTGAATGGCTGAATGGCTGGTGAGTGGGAAATATTGCTCCTAAATATGGTAATTAAAGGTGGACTTCATTGCCTCCAAACGGTGCTTCAGGTTGGGCAGAATGAGAAGCTCTACTGCTCCATTTTCTTTTGCAACAGTCTCAGTTGTGCTTGTTTAGGTGGAGATTGCTTTGGAATTATAGAAATGCCATGATTTCTTTTCTTCCGGTCCCTTCTCCCTTCCATATGGATGAGTTGCCATGTAAAAACAACTAACTGCTGGTGTACCTTCAGGTGTGAGTTAGTTTGTGACAGCCGAGATGCGAAGCTGAAAATGGATTTGGAGGGTAATTTAGGTGTTTCAAGGGGCTCCCCAGCTGAGTTGGGAATCAGCTGAGGTACACGTGCCAACGTCAGGCAGAGATCAAAAATATCAGCTTCATTATAAAGGTCGATTTTGGAGGGCAAGATTTGGGTCTGGCCAGAGGACTTGCTAACACGCTCTTGAATTGAGATTAGCCTCCCAAAATGTCAAGCTTTCCTCAGGGAAAGATCCTACCCTTCCAGGTTTACTGCATGGCTAAGAACAGATGAGAATGCGAGCTGCAACAAGCATGTGGCCCTCGAGAGAGAGAGAGAGGGGGGTGCAGAACCAAGGATGCTCAGATCCATTTCATAAACTGAACAGTCAAAGAAGTCATTTTTTTCCGTGGAGAGGAATAAATTGAGAGAGAGGAGACAGACAAAGTAGGAGTATCATTTTACTGGAGTTTTCTCTGAATGGAAACAGGGAAAAAGAGATTCTTCCCTAGTAAGGAAAAGAATAGGTTAAAAAGCCCACATACATTGGTGTCTGTCTCCTGACCTAGGTGATTACAAGAAATTTCTTTATCAGTCCTTAAGAGGAAGATATAGTTTCCTACCCAGTTGGATGGGGTGCAGAAATGAGCTTAGAGAACAGTGGATGTATGGTGAAGTAGAACCATACCACCTGTGCCTGGGTCCATAGTCAGTGCTATGGACCAGCTATCAGCAGATCAACCTGGGCTAATGCTTAGGAAGCCCAGTGGCTGGTGACCTGCCTTTCTGCACATCAGCAGTAAGTGAGCACAATTATAGGGAGTGTCCGTAGGAAAGGGCCTGTTCTGTAGGAGGTGTTTCCATTTCTCTCCACATCAAGGAATAGTCTCAAAAGTAATTTTTTTTTTTTTTAAAAGTAGTCTCAAATAAGTACAAAGTCATTGAAACCAGAGCTACAGTTAATAGTCTTAAAATAGACCAGCCCCTCAGTGCCTACTATACTCAAATTGGCAGAATTAACATTCAAAGGACGAGATAGAAATTACAGTCGCTTCTTCTGTCATCCCCAACAGGACAGTGACCTTCTGTCCCAGGCATGGTTATTATCATAGGAATAATCCTCTTTGGTATGGATGGGAACACCTTTCTTCCCTAAACAGTGTTGGTCTTTTGAAGACTCTTGCTCTTATTTTTTTAACTTAGTTATGGATTTTTTTTTCATAATTTATATCATTTCTAGGGAATTGAGGCAGAAGGGGAAGGAGGCAGCATGTGCTCAGTCTGTCATCTTGAAATATTCTAATATCCCTATTTCAGACTGGTCTTGTGAAAGACCTGTTGACCCTGCCTAATACACCGAATTAGTCAGGGAAAGCCCCAGGAAAACGTGGGTACACAGCCAATAACTGAGGCTTTTTAATTAATCTTTACCGCTTCCCAACATCCTTGTTTCTCTATTACATCTGGTGAGTTATGGAACTGTGACAGCTCCACGGCTATTTTAAGGGGATCACCTAGTTTCTGACCCCACTTCCTGAGCCTTACTCTTTAGGCAAATATCCTGTCTCCTCAGAACAACTCACACCTAGATCCTGAGAGCAGAGTAAGTTGCTTTGCCTTTTTTTTTTTTTTTTAACTTGGTAATGATAGACAAGAGGCCACTTGAAATGGGACTTAGGCCCCCAAACCTCTGTCACTCATATAGATGTAACACTTGCTTCCTCCCTACCTTTGAACCCAAAAGGAGTCTCTTGTGAGCTTACATCCACAATTAGAAACATTATTTTTAATGAATTAAGTGAATTGTAGAAATCTACAATGCGCTATTAGGAAATGTCTTGCCAAAAAAAATTGCAAATCTCATTTATAGTAAGTAGTCTCTTTTTTTTTTGAGGATAAAATCATTTTCTAGGTAACTAGATACTTCCTGGACCCAAGCTGGATTTAATATTAAGCTGACAATTTAATATAATTGTCAATATATTGAGGTTGCTGGTGTTTTTTAAACTGATGAATAGGGGGAGAGGGGGGACATTTTAACCTGATCACTCTTTTCTAGAATCTGGTCTTAGCTGTCATTTCCTTAGAGATGCACTCTATGAACACCTTTCTGTTAAAATTCCCATTTTCCCCCCATTCCCCAACGTAAATGCTCTCATTCTATCACATCACCCAGTTTTATATTCTTAGCTATTAAAACAATCTGAAAATATCTTGCGTATTCAGCTGGTAAATAGATTATTAAGTTTTTCTTCATTATAAATTTAAATTCCACTAGAGCCCAGATCTTTTATTATTCAACACTGCATCCCGATTACCTAGAATATTGCTGGTACTTAAATATATGTTTGAACGAATGGACTGATGGATGATTTCTTTATTTTCATTTTTGGGCAGGGAATGATGATTGATGGCAACAAGGACATCATTTTTAGCAGACTTAATGAAACTAACTAAATAGGGTCTCTCTCAGAAATCTTGTTCTATTTTTGTTAATGTTGGTCTATCCCTGGGCTGTCTTAGATGGTTTATTCCACTTAGGTCATAATTCCTACACTCTTATGGTTGCTTTATACTATTCTCTAACTTGGAGAATGACCAAATGTTTTTATTCCTGGATAGAGCAGAGATAGATGAATGTTGGAAACTATCTTTTGGAATTCTTGGAGGAAAATGAATCCCACTTGAATCTGGAAGCACCAGATCACATATCTTGTTCTATCCTGATTGATTTGTGGAGTTTCTTCTTTCTAATTATCTTACATTAGAACTTTAGAAGAGAGAGGAAGAAAAGAAAGTTGATTAATTTTATCCCTATTAAGTAGAACAGCAAGTTAAAAGGAGATTCTCTAGAAACAAAAAGAATTTGTGAAGAAGCTGGGTGATTGTGGAGGGTCTAGGCAAATGTTCTAATTACAATTCAGTGAAGACAAGGCTGCTATTTTGAGGCGTATTTTCTGAGCTTTCATTAAACTGTTAACTTCCTCATTTTTTTATTATTGGTATATTTTTTATAATAATAATAGCTGATGATTGGCATATGAAAACCCTTAAAATCAAAACAGTGGGGCATTTTGGGACAACAACAATTAGGAAACTCTATTCCAGAACTTGTTGTGCAGTGAAGGAACCCTAAGGTATGAGGCAGGAATCTGAGTAGCATGAAATAAATTCTGTCTAACATAAAGGAAAGGTGTTTTTGGAAGAATACTAGGCAGTTCCTAGGATGGAAGGAAAAGCTGAGTAAACAAACTTCAGAAGGGCGAACGCCGGGCCGCCCTGCGGGAGCTTCTCCCCAGCGTGTTGCTGCCAAGGTGACCAGGCTCCAGGGACTTTTCAGGTTCTGTCTTTCCATTTGAATTTTGAGTTTCCAGAAGTGGACTACCAAAGGGAACATATGATGTGGGGCAGCAGGTCCCTCTCCTCCTCCTGTTTTCACGTGAAAGCAACAAGATGCACTGAAGGGAGATGTTTTAAGTTACACTTGTGGGAGTATGGAGAAGCTTGGGGATGAGACTGAAATCAGTGAGTATAATTATTATAATAGCAAACATTTGTTAAGTATTTACTGTGGGCCAGACACTGTGTTGAGTATTTTGCATCAATTAACTCATTTCATTCTCATGATAACTTTATGAGTTAAGGGTAATAATAATATATTTCACATTTGAGAAAACTGAGCCTTAAAGAAGTTAAGTAGCTTTTCTAAGGGAGCATGTGAGCAATTAGGAGTCATTAGGAGACAGTTGTAGTAATTCAAAGCAAGAAATGATGAGGGCCTGAACTAAGTTAGTGAGCTGGAACCAGTAAAGGCTAGGAAATGGTTCTGTGGAGGATGTAAAAAGGGAGGAGTCAGGAATAACTCCTGGGCATCTGGACCAGAACGTGGGTGGATTTTATTCAAAAGGAGGCACAGTTTTGATGATGGAAGTGTGAGGAGGCATCTGATGAGGTAAGTTGTCACTGCGAGGCCTATTACTGCCTGTGGGGCTTGTGGGCGGGTCTCCAGCTGTTCTCTTGCCCCCTGGCAATCTCTTCTCCACACACAGTTCCCCACCGTGGCCTCGAGGCTCTGCCTCTTCCACTTGGTTACGGACAGCCCTGTCCCTTCCTCAGGACACCTTAGACACACAGGCCTTCCACTGTTCCTGAGTGTTAAGTTCCTTCCTGCCGAGGGGTCGTTGCACTGGCTAATACCTCTGACTGGAATGTTCTTTGCCAAGATCTTGGCATAGCTTTTCCCTTTCTTGATAGTCACTCCTCGGTCAGATGTCACCTCCTCAGAGAGGCTTTTCCTGAGCACCCTTCCTCCATGCCCCAGACCAACCCTCCTCTGCCCCGTGGCCTCCCACCCGCGCCACCTTTCATTGCACTTATCACTGCCCAAAGCTGTGTTCATTTGTAACTAGTTGTTTATTGCTGTTTACCTCCTTTAGATTATCAGCTCCATGAGAGCAGGGACCATGTATATGCACCATCTAGACGTGAGGACAGTCCTCCATAGCGTGTATAAACTCAATAAGTATGTGATGAAAGATTAGAAAGTTCTGTACATGAACTCAGAGTGACTTATCAGACCACGTGAAGTCCGAGGTAACTTGCAGCAAGCCACAAAATGTGCATTAAAACATACATGTTATGCAGAGTCACTACTAATAAACCTTAAACTTCTATAAAGAATTCACACACAGTGATCCCATTGCAAAAATTATAATTTTGTTTAACCCTGTTATCTCCTTAGTGGCAGATTTTAGAATTGGAAATCTGGATGCTTTTTTTTAGCCTGAGGAAAAATTTTTCTTTGGTGACTGCAAATGTCTAAACTTTATATTTTCTCTTAAAGGCTCAATCTCAAGATATAGTTCCAACAATAGGATTCAGCATAGAGAAATTCAAATCGTCCAGGTAATTCACTTTATTTTACTTGTGACAAAGAAGGTGTGGGTGAAAAATGATAATATTAGATCTACCTAGTTATTCCTCCTACTCTTTGAAAAAGTAATTTGTTTTTCAGAAGCCTGTAGGCTTTAAAATATTTGTACCACTACCTCTGGATTGTTTTCAGAATTTAGAGTTTAGACAAGTTCCAATAACCTCACTAACAAAGAAAATATCTTTTTTGTATGTTGTCCATTGCAAAATTATATTCAATAAATTCATTTTATGGCACTTGTACTTGAAAATTGGCCCAAGTTGAATATTGTGTATTCAAGGGTGGTTTCTTTGGTTGAAAAACAATTTAAAATTTTAAGTAAAAGTTACACTTTAAGTTAGTGGCTTATAATGTAGTCATTTTTTTTTTGGTTTTTATTTTTTTGTAGTTTATCTTTTACAGTGTTTGACATGTCAGGTCAAGGAAGATACAGAAATCTATGGGAACACTATTATAAGTAAGTATGTTTGTGAATGTTAGTTAACTAGATGGCTTTATTTTAGTAACAAATAATGATCAGAAATCTAAGAGATTACATGGGCTGGGTTGCAGTGTTTATTTTTCCTACAATTTAAGTACATTTCCTAATTTTAAAAAAAAGTGCAATCATACCTTACATTATTTCACAAATGCTTCACATCCTTCATGACTTTGGGTCTTTGCGTGTGCTATTCTCTCTGTTTGTAACACCCTGTTCTACCCTATTTCTCTGCAGCTCACTGTTAATATCTTCATGCTTTAAAGACTAGCTCAAAAGTCACCTCCTCTGTGAAAGGTCAACTTAAAAGCAAATTCACCTGTTATTTTACCCTCAAAATGAGTTTGTTCAGGAATAACCAAAAGAACTGCAATTGGGAATGTGCATGCTATGGCAAACCATGGGCAAATCCAGCAGACAAAGCAGAGGAGCTGCTTTTATAGAGGAAAAGGGGGGGAGTAGGGAGAGGCTGTTCTAAACCAAAGTCCGTTGGAGGGAGCTAACAGTTCAGGGCAGCAAAAGTCTCTCATTGGCTGGGCTGTTGCCAGGTGGGAAGAGAAATCTTCCTTCAGTAGTAAAGGAGCTTTACTTGCTGTTGGAGATGCAAGTGCAGGGCTGTTTCTATTTGGAGTGATGGATGATGTGTGGTAGGGCGTGAGAGCTCTCCCTACAGGCCTTCCTTCCAATTTAGTTAAGGTTTCTTTATTAATTTCCACAGAAGTTGCACTGTTTTGCCCAGTTATTGTTTCCCCCATGTTCACACAGTACTTTGTCCACTCACACCTCTGTAGTCATTACATCTTAAAGTCATGTACCATAGCTGCCTCCGTAATGGGATTGTGAACTCTGCAACGGCAGGGGTTATTTCTTATTCAGATTATTTTTTCAAGGCCAAGTATGATGCTGGGCAGTAAAGATTTATAGAATAAATTTAGTTAAAGTAACAGTGCTAACTGTCTAATGGTTGATCTGTTTGTTCAACAAGCAATTCTAAACAAGGTATTTTTCAGCATATGCAAATCAAGTGTTCACTAATTACTTCATATTAACAGCTGCCAAGTTGCTAGGATCCCGAGGTATTATACCCTCTTGAGATTTACATGTGGTGCTAAAATGAATTCATTAACTTCTGTTATTGCTCGGACTCCTTCATTCCATACAAGACCAGTGTGACTCACTTTTGGAGTCTGAAACTTACAAACAGCATCCCTTGATGAAATGCCCTTTTGTCATTATTAACTCTTGCCTTGAAATGGTATGTGATGACTGCCAGATCAGATTTTAATTTTGATTGATTGATTCTTTCCTGCTAACGAAGGAACACAGAACACTGTATTCCTCAAATATGAACCAAAGGAGATTTATTCCAGATATTCTTTTCAATGAGTACTTTAATAGATTGAAGGCCTGTTTAAATCATATAGATCCAGAGGACCTCTGAGGTAGAAGTAAAAGATTGCTTTAGATTTGAGGGTCAGTTTGGAAAGGGAAAAGTGGCATGTTTGTGGTATTCTGCATTAAATTCCCTGGGGAAATATGAGAGTTTGTTTTGTTAGTTTGTTCTTTTAGGAAACCTGAGTTTTCAGTATAGGATTTTTTTTATTCCTTCTCTGATTAGTTGATAAACAGTTCCTTTTTTTAAAAAAAATGTATTTACTTTAGCTACTTTTTTAAAAATAACATTTATTTTAATTAAAGGGAACAAAAATATGAGGAAAATAGTACTTCAAAAAAGACAACTTTTTTTCTGATTTTAATTCATTTTTCTTCAAAATCTTTTTGGAAGAAGTTAATAAATTGAGGACTATAATAGATAAATTGTAGGTTGAAGGGTGAATGTTGTTGCTATTGAGAAGTCTGCAGTAATAGTGAATTTATTTCCTGTATCACTGTACTCTTATGATTGTGAAAAAGCAAGTACCTGTTAATTGGTTAGACTGAAAGAGGCTAAAAAGATTAATTACAAGTCTACTGTTGGCAAAACAAGCCACTCTTATAGTGGCAATGTGACATCTTTTTCAGGATAACTTATCAATATCTGTTAAAGTGAAAAATGTTCATGTCTGCAGCCATTATTTTTGCTTTGTGAAAAGTGTGCTGTTGTGACTGAGACTAGTAGGCAAAGATGCATAGAAGAGTGTGTGCTGAGCACTGTTTATAATGACATGTTTTCATAGCTCCATTATATGAAGAAAAATATTCTGAATAAAAATATGTGCTTAGTATATATAAAGAGAAGAAAATTTATTAGTGGAATGTGCACCACACCATTAATAGAATTTGTTTTTTGAGTAATAAGATTATAAGGGAAGTTTATTTTGGCATTTATATGATTCTGTAATGATTTTAAATGATTCTGTAATTTTGCGTATTAGTCTTACAATATAAAAAAGAAATAAGGTATAAAATATAAGGAGTGCACATTTTGTAATGTTTGGAAAATGTAGAAAAGCATATAAAAATTGTTTTTCATAAATCTCACTGCTAATAAATTTACCATTGTTAATCTTTTTGATATGTTTCTTCTTTTTTGAAATATATATATTGTGCAGTTTACATAATTGAGAAAGGAGCCCTCTGAATTACGTACCATAGATAGTTTTTTATCCTGCTTTTCTAGTTAACATTCTATGATAAGAATAAATGAGGAAAAAAAAGACAAAGAATATAACTCTTCTTATACTGCCTGATAATTTTTCATGTGCCTATGCCAAAATTTGCTTAATCATTTCTCTATTTTTGAACGTTAAGGCTATTCTCAGTTTTTGAAGATTATAAACAAGTCTTCAGTTAACATCTTGTTGCATAAAACTTTGTCGTAGTTCATGTTGCCTTAGAATAAATTCCAGAAATAAAATTACTTGCTCAAAGTGATTGAACATTTTTAAAGCTCTTGGTAGATATTTCCAACTGTACCTGTTTCTGTATCTACTAGTAATGTATGACTGTGTGGATCTGCATTCTTTTTTTTAAATGATAGGAGAAAATGGTATTAAAAAGTTGTTTTATTTTCATATTCATATGATTACTAATGACATTGAGCTTTAAAATCTTAATTAATGACTCGAATAAGTGATTCACAAGAAAGTATAAATGTCTGATAAATATATGAAAAAATGTTGAACTTCACTAGCAACTAATGAAATGCAAAGTAAGATAATATGCTGTTAGAATGGCAAAAATTGAAAAGAATGATAGCCATGCTGCAAGGGTACGGGGAGAGTGCTGGTAGTAGTGTGAAGTGATACAGCATTTCTGGAAGACAATTGGTCAGTGTTTATCTGAAACTTTAAATTTTGTATGTATTTCTAGAAATTTTATTCCTAGACACAAATCTTAAAGTATCAAGAAATTTTAAAAATGTATTTAGGAGAATGTTTGTCCCAAAGTTTTCCATAATAATGAAAATTAGAAATAACCTATAAGTCCATCAATAGAAGCTTGACACAATATTTGATGACAGATCCATGCACTAGAGTACCTCATAAACATTAAAAGAAAGGTGCAGAGGGAATCAGTGATTTTTGAAGTGCCGCTATGACCTATATCTGAATTCTTAAACCAGTTCAGTGGCTGGTTATCAGTTTAAAAAAATCAAACAGAGGGCTGGCCCGGTGGTGTAGCGAGGCTTAAGTTTGAGCATTCCACTTCAGCGGCCCAGGGTTCGCAAGTTTGGACCCCAGGCAGGCACCGATGCCGTGCTGTGGCGGCGTCCCATATAAAGTAGAGGAAGATGGGCATGGATGTTACCCCAGGGCCAATCTTGCTCAGCAAAAAGAGGAGGATTGGCAGATGTTAGCTCAGGGCTAATCTTCCTCACAAAAAAAAAAAAAAAGAATAAAGTAAAAGCTGTTTGTAAGTATTTGTTTCAGGAGACATATTTCAAATGTATTTTGAAATATGTATCCTTACATGTCTATTGCATCTTAATGTAAAATGTATTTCTCGCTATGGTTCTGGTACAAAATATTTGAGAAGCACTGGTGTGGAGCTGAAATGTTTCATATAAAAGTAGATCCAAACTATACTGCACAAAGATCAAGGAAATGTACATATGTATCAGAAAGGCAGGGTGTAAAACAGCAGGATCCCATTTAAATACAGATGTAGATATTCACATGTGAATATACGCAAAGGAAATGTCAAAATTGATTTACATGAAAATATTAATCATTGTATCTGTAATAGTTATAGTTTTGCTTGTAATTTTTTAAAATTATGAAATAAAGTATTAAATTTATCATATCCAAATGAAAATATTTTACGTGAAATATGACTAATAGTTAATGTATTAATCACTCATATAAACTAAGAAGAAACAGCACCAAAGCCTGTAATGATAAATGGACATAGGATATGAGGAGCTAATACACAGGTTAGGAAATGCAAATGGATAGCAAACTTGGAAAAATGTGTAAGTGTGTCTTAATTTTTCTCATTCTTTATATTTTACAGAGAAGGACAAGCCATTATCTTTGTCATTGACAGTAGTGATAGGTTAAGAATGGTTGTGGCCAAGGAAGAACTCGATACTCTTCTGAACCATCCAGGTATGTGTGTGCATCTTTCAGTCTGTGAGGTCTGTTGCTTTGGGGTCTGTTAACATACGATGTTTTGTTCTTTGGGGTCGGCAAAAAAGTGTTGCTTACACTATGTAATTATCTTTTATTTAAAATTTTTGAATTTTAAAGCTCTATTAATAACGCAGAATTCATAATACCTTTATCTGCCACACCATATATTTTTTAAATTTCAAAGCTTTTTGCAATGTTTTCCAGGTCTTTGACCTTTATTTCCCCCAAAATAAAAATACCTTTTTTTTATGATTACATAAAGAATATGTGTCAATAGCAAAAAATGCAGACAGAAAAAGAATAAGAAAGAAAGTAAAATTCTATGTATTTCAATACTCATTAAAATTTTTTTGGTTACCATCTTTACATGCGCTTGTGTGTGTATGAGTGTGTAATCACAGCATTTCTTATAGATTTATTGTGGGAATTCTTTTAAAACAGATCTTTTCTGTTTTTAAATTCCAACTACCACCTCCCAACCCCCTTTCAAGATGTTAGTATTAACAATTTGGTATTTTTCCTCTCATACCTTTATATATACCATGTGTATATAATATATATTATATTATATATAATTATAATAATTACATATAATAATATATAATAATTATAATAATAATATATTATATATTATGTACACATACATACATACATATACAGGTACTAAAGATATGTAGAGAGTTGGGGACTATGAGGACTGTCACTGTTATTGACTAAATAGGATCACATTCTATATACTCTTCTATATCTTCCTGTTCTCAAATAACACTGCATAATGGAAATCCTTTAAAGTCAGACTGCATATATGTAATTATTATTTTTAATGGTGCCTAATATGCCATACTGTGAGTGTACCACCATTTATTCAGTCATTCACCTATTGATAGATTTTTTTCCACACTACAAATAATGCTCCCGTGAGTATTGTAGAACTCTGCATTTCTAGCCTTATTCATGCCAAAAGATTTTAAGTGGTCTTTGTGCTAGGACATTTAGAAAAAGGTGGTGGTTTAAAAGAACTATGGATTTGTTAGAAATGGAACAGGATATTGTTGGGCTTTCTAACAATTCTTGCTGCTTAACCACAATATTTTTGGTATTTTTATCAGACAACCTCAAGCTTATTCAAATATTTGGGGGGAAAAATTATCCAGCCTGTACTTTTTATGTGACTATTTCACTTTTAAAAAGTTATCAGGGGGCCTGCCCCATGGCATAGTGGTTAAGTCCAGCATGCTTCTCTTGGGCGGCCTGGGATTCTCAGGTTCGGATCCCAGGTGCGGACCTGCACCACTCATCAGCCATGCTGTGGCGGAGACCCACATACAAATTGGAGGAGGATTGGCACAGATGTTAGGTCAGGGCTAATCTTCCTTAAGCAAAAAGAGGAAGATTGGCAACAGATGGTAGCTCAGGGCCAGTCTTGCTCAGTAAAAAAAAAAAAAACTTATCGGTCTTTTATCTGGGTTGAAAATGCATTTTTGATTCTGCATTCCCTTTGTGTTAATCTTTCCACTTTCTCCCCAAAACGTGTGGTAATATTGACCAATAAAATGAAATAATTCCTACAAAATCTGCTTCAAAACAGTGAGAACCTTGGTTTCCTCAACTGAAGCCTTGTCCATTTATTTTGCATTTATTTTGTAGAATAGATTCTCAAAGGAGGGATTTCTCAGCTGAAGTGTGTATGTGAACTTTTTTTAAAACTGAAGTATAAGTTGTATATAGTGAAATGCTCCAGTGTGATGTAGTTCAGTAAGTTTGACAAATGCATGCACTCACGTAACTACACTACCTGTCAAGAAACAGAACATTTTCATCACCCCGGAAAGTTCTCTCATGCCCCTTCCCAGTCAACACACACTCCTGGCGCCAGAGGAATACTAATCTGATTTCTATCACCAGATTAATTTTGCCTATTCTACAGTTTCATATAAATTGGGGGGAAAGTACATACATTGTGTCTAGGTTTTTTCCTTCGGCATAATGTTTTGGGGAGTCACCCATGTTGTTGTATGTATTACTTATTTATGCCTTTTAATTGCTGTGTAATATTCTATTATGTGAATATACCGCCGTTTGTAATCCAGTTCCCCATTGATTGACATCTGGGCTGTTTCTAGTTTAGGGCAATTATGAATAAAGCTGCTAAGAACATTCTTTTTTGTTGTTGTTGTTGAGATATTATTGACATATAACATTTATCAGTTTCAGGTGTACAACAGAATGATTTGATATTTGTATGTATTGTGAAATGATCACCACAGTAAGTCTAGTTAACATCCTTTACCACACAGTTAGAAATTTTTTCATGTGATGAGAACTTTTAAGATCTACTCTTTTAGCCTGTTTCAAATACATAATACAGTAATATTAACTACAGTGACCATGCTACATTACATGTTGTGTCTTATTTATTTTATAACTGAAAGTTGGTACTTTCTGACCCCCTTCGCCCATTTCATGCCCCACCCCCACCCTCTGCCTCTTGCAACCACCAGTCTGTTCTCTGTATCTGTGAGTTCAGTTATTTTTGTTTTATTTTTTTCAGATTCCACATCTAAGTGAGATTATACAGTATTTGTCTTTCTCTGTCTGACTTATTTCACTTAGCATAATGCCCTCAAGGTCCATCCATGTTGTCGCAAATGGCAAGAATTCCTTCTTTTTTATGGCTGAATATTCCATTATGTTTATATACCACATTTTCTTTATCCATTCATCCATGGATGGACACTTAGGTTGCTTCCATGTCTTGGCTATTATAAATAATACTGCATTGAACATGGGGGTTGCATATATCTTTTCGAGTTAGTGTTTTTGTTTCCTTCAGATAACTACCCAGAAGTAGGATTGCTGGATCATATGGTAGTTATATTTTTAATTTTTTGAGGAACCTGCATACTGTTTTCCATAGTGGCTGGACCAATTTGCATTCCCATCAACAGTGCACAAGGGTTCCTTTTTCTCCTGTTCCTCACCAACACTTATCTCTTGTCTTGTTGATAATAGCCATTCGGACAGGTGTGAGGTGATATCTCATTGTGGTTTTCATTTGCATCCCCTAATGATTGGTGATGCTGAGCACCTTTTCACTTGCATTTCTTCTTTGGAAGCATGTCTAGGAGTGATATTCCTGGGTCATTCCATCCATAGGTATATGGATAATGTTTTAAGAAACTGCCAGTCAGTTTTTCAAAGTGGCTGTGCTATTTTATTTTACATTCTTGGCAGCAGTGTGTGAGAGTTCTAGTGGCTACACGTCCTCTCCAACAATTGAAGTTAGTTTTTTTCATTTTAGCATTTCTACTGAATATGTAGTAGGATTTCATTGTGCTTTTAATTTGTATTTTCCTAATGACTAATAAGGTTGAGCACTTTTTCATGTTCTCTTGGCTGATCTTATACATTGTCTTGTAAAATGTCTTTTTAAATCTTTTGCTCGTTTGTCTAATTTGGTTGTTTGTCTTCTTATTATTGAAAATGTAAGATTTCCTTATATATGCTAGATACAAGGCCTTTGTTAAATATATGTGTTTTGAAGACTTTTTTACCAGTCTGTGGCTTGCCTGTTTATTTTCTTCACAGTATCTTTTAATGAACAGATGTATCTAATTTTGATTCCTCCCTAATATATCAATTTTTTCTTTCATATACAAGCTTTCTGTGTACTCTCTAAGAATTCTTTGCTTACCCGAAGATTGCTAAGATATTCTCCTGTGTTTTCTTCAGCTTTATAGCTTTAGCTTTTATGTTTAGGTCTGGGATCCATCTTGAATTTTTATGCTTTTTTTCATACAGATACCTAATTGTCCCAGAATCCATTTGTTTAAAAAATTTTTCTTTTCCACTGACGTACTTGTCAAAATCACTTGACTTCCACCTGTATCAAATATCATTAGGCTGTATATATGTGGGCCTATTTCTGAACTTTCTGTTTTGTTCTGTTGATGTCTTTTATGTCCTTTCATGCTGTCTTGATTACTACAGATTTATAATAAATCTTGAAGTCAGATAGGATAAATCCTCCAACCTTGGATCACTTTTCCAAGATTATTTTGGTAGTTCTAGGTCCTCCATATTTTTTAATAATTTTTTAAATCAGCTTGTTAATTTTTCAGAAAACACCTGCTGAGATTTTATTTTGATTGTATCTGGGGATAATTGACATCTTAACGTTGGACTTAACATTGAGTGTTCATGAACATGGTGTGTCACTTCATTTATTTATGCCTTTCTAAATTTCTCTAAGTTATCTTGCACCATTTTCTGTGTAGAGGTCCTACAGATCTTTCATTCAATTCATTCCTGAGTTTTTTATATTTTTTAAGCTATTGTAAATAGTATATTTTATTTCGTATTCTAATAGTTCATTTTTAGTGTGTGAAAATATTGACTTTGTATTCTGTGCCATTGTTAAATTTATTTATTCTAATAATTTTTCTATAGTTTCTTAGAATTTTCTATGTATAAAATCATATCTTCTGCAACAACAACAGAAAACATTCTGCTGCTTCCTTTTCAGTCTTTATGCCTTTTATTCTTTTTCTTGTCTTATTGCACTGGCTAGGACTGCCAGTACAATGTTGAGTAGAAGTGGTAAGTCTTGTCTTGTTCCCGTTCTTTACATTTAATATTTTACCATTAAGTATGATGTTAACTGTAGGGTTTTCCTATACATCTTTATTAGGTCAAGGAAATTTCCTTTTATTCCTAATTTTCCAAAAACTTTTGTCATAAACTAATATTATATTTTGTCAAATGCTTTTCCTATATCTATTAAAATGGTAATATGATTCACACATGAATTACATTATTGATTTTCATGTATTAAACCAATCTTACATTCCTGAATTAAATCTCATTTGACCATGGAGTATTAACCTTTTTTATATATTATTGAATTGGATTTGCTGAAGTTTTGTTAAAGACTTTTGTTCTTGGGTTCATGAGGGTTTTCAGTTTGTCATTTTCTTTTTTATAATGCCCTTGTTCTGGGTTTGTATCAAGGTGATAGAGGCCTCATAAAATGATTTAGGGAGTATTTACTTCTCCACTTTTTATTTTTTGGGATTTGTGTAGAGTTGGTATTATTTCTTTTTCAGACAATAGATAGAATATACCAACAGAGCCATCTGGGTCAGGATTGTGTGTGTGTGTTGGGGGGGGGGAGGTGAATTATGAATTCAATTTCCTTAAAGGATATAAGGCTATTAAAGTTTTGTATTTCTTCTCGAGTCACTTTTGGTAATTTGTAACCAAATTTAATAATTTATCTAAGTTGTCAAGTTTGTTGGCATAAAATTGTTTACGACATCCTCTCATTATCCTTTTTTTTTTTTTTTAAAGATTTTATTTATTCATTTTTTTCCCCCCAAAGCCCCAGTAGATAGTTGTATGTCATAGGTTCGCATCCTTCTAGTTGCTGTACGTGGGACTCGGCCTCGGGTTGGACGGAGAAGTGGCGCCTTGGGGCGTGCCCGGGATCCGAACCCGGGCCGCCAGCATCAGAGCGCGCGCACTTAACCGCTAAGCCACGGAGCCGGCCCTCATTATCCTTTTAATGTCTATAAGATCTATATAATATATCGTCTTTCATTCCTGATATTGGTAATTTATGTTTTCTCCCTTTTTTCTTGCTTAATCTTTTAAAGAGTTTATTGGTTTTATTAATTTTCCAAGAACCAACTTCTGGCTTTGTAAGTTTCCTCTGTTGGTTTGTCTTTTTTTTAATTTCATTAATTCCTGCTCTTGTTTTTATGAACTTTCTGTACTTACATTATATTTTATTGTCTCATCTATTTTCAGATGGAAGTGGAAATCATTGATTTTATACCTTTTTCTCTAATATAAGCATTTAAAGCAATACATATTCTCTAAGGATTTAGCTATATCTCACAAATTTTGATATGTTTGTTTTCTTTATTATTTGGTTCAAAGTCTTTTCTAACTTACCTTGTGAATTCCTCTTTGACCCTTGGGTTATTTAGTAGTGTGTTATTTAATTTCCCATGTATTGGGAATTTTCTAGGTATCTTTTTGTTCTCGATTTCTAATTTAATCCCATTTGATCAAAGAACATATTCTGTATGATTTTATCCTTAGAAATATATGGCCCAACATATATGGTCTAGCTTGGTGAATGTTCCACCAGCAGTTACATAGAATGTGTATTTTGCTGTTGTCGGGTGAAGAGTTCTATAAATGTGAGTTGATTGTGTTGTTCACATCTTCCACATTCTTACTGATTTTTTGTCTACCTGTTCTCTTGATTTCTGAGGGAGGAGCATTGATATATCCACCTCTGATTGTGGATTTGTTTGTATTTCTCTTTAGTACTGTCAAATTTTGCTTCATGTATTTGGAAGCTTGTTTATTAGATACATACACACTTAAAATTGTTTTGTTTTCTTGATTGATTGACCCTTTTATAGTTTTTAAATGCCATTCTTTTTCTTTGATTACCCTGCATCTTGAGTACACTTTGTCTGATGTTAGTGGAGCCCTGCCAGCTTTCCTTCACTTCAGTGTGTGTGCAGATAGGTTTTTCCATCCTTTTACTTTGAGCTTGTTTGTATCCTTATGTTCAAAGTGTGTTTCTTTTAAACATCATGTAGTTATGTCTTGCTTTTTTATCCACTTTGACATTCTCTGCTCCAGAATCAATTCCAGCTGGACTAAATATTTAAATATAAAAATTACACCATTACAGCAGTAGAAGAAAATATGGGAGAATTTTTAAAATAATTTTGGGGCAAGAGGAGGCCTTTCTGACTAGAACACAAAACCCAGAATCCTAAAAGAAAGGACTGATGAATATGAGTACATAAAAAGTTTTTTATGACAAGCAAATGACCCATGAGCAGTCAAAGGCAAGTGACAAGCAAGGGAAAATATTTGCAGTTCATATCATAGCTACTGGACTTATTTCCTTACTACTTAATGTGTTCCTGCAAATCAATACGAAAATAAAAACTTAATAGAGAAATGGGGAAAGGATATGACATGATAGTTCAGAAAAAAAGGAAATATAAACATATTTTCAATATACAGAAAGATTTTTGACCTTTCTCACAGCAATGTAAGTAAGCACATTCTGATAGCACTTTTTACCTATCACCTATCACATAGAAAAGATCAAAAAATTTGATAACAGTCTTTTGGCAAGATCAGTGGAAACATTCTTATACATTGTTGTTGAAGTTAAATTGATACAATTTTTAAGGGAAGGCAGTTTGCTAATCATTGTCTATCAGAATTGCAATTGACATATCCTTTGACCCAGCAATTCCACTTTTCTAATTTATCCTACAGATATACTGGCTCATGTACAAAATTTCCTATGTGTAAGTTTATTCATTATAGCATTGTTTATAGTTGTAACTCAGTTGGGTACTGGTTAAATAAATTATGGTACATAGTACTAAAAGAATATTCCACAACTGTTAACATAATGAGGAAACTGCTCTATGTGTACTGATATGGGGCAATCTCCAAGATATGAAATTAAATGAAAAGCAAAAGATAAAATAGTGAGAATAGTCTGCTACTACTTGTATAGAGAGTAATATGTCGTAATTGTTGGCAAATATGTAAAATATTCTAAAAAGGTGCCAAGAAATGGATGATATGGGTTGCTTCTTCTAGGGAAGACAAGTGGATGGCCTGGGACAAAGATGGGAGGGAGATTCTTTTGTTCTATGCCATTTTGTGTCTTCTGAATTTTGAACTATTTAAATGTATTATGTATTCAAAACAGTGAAAAATATTTCCAAAATTGTAACAAGGTAAAAATATCTCGTTAAATCATCTAGCTTGTTACTTACAATACTGTGACTAAAATCTACGATCAGGATCCGGTTTATTGTCCTTCTACTTCTGTTTGAAGTTTGCCTCCTTTGTGTTGACAGTAGAAGCGAAACAAACAAAATATTTGACCGTTTTGTAGGTGCTGCTCAGTGACTGCTTCCTGAGGACCCCACTCCCACCTCACTCGTCTTTACTTTAAAACTCCAGCCAGAGGGCAGACAGTCTTAGGAAAAAGTGTTTTTTAAATTCTCTTATCGCTCAAATACATGCCTGACAGTCTTTAAATGTGCATGTGTGTGTGATATAGAAAGAAGTGATTGGAAAACAGTACTAGTGGATTTCAATTTTAAAGATTTGGGGGAAAATGACCCAAAAAGCCAGAAGTGTGATGATAGTCTTATTTTCTCTTCTAGATATTAAGCACCGCCGAATACCAATCTTATTCTTTGCAAACAAAATGGATCTTAGAGATGCAGTGACATCTGTAAAAGTGTCTCAATTGCTGTGTTTAGAGAACATCAAAGATAAACCATGGCATATTTGGTAAAATTTTATATTTACTTCTCATTTTATCATTCTGAAAAAAAATCTCCAAACTAGTTTTTCTTTTTCAAGTTCATTTTATAAGTGACCTAATATGGTAGGATGTAAGCTAAGGATTTTGTTTTATAGAATTGTGGCATTGTGAGTATTCATGAATATATTACTGTTAAAACCTTTTCCAGTCTTTTTGGGGATAGAAAAATATGAACAACTCTTTAAAAGAATAACTTAGCCCACGTACTCACCCCACGTCAGCCACACTGATTTCCTTCTGCACATTGCATCACCAGCCACAGTCCCGTCTCAGGCCATTTGCACGTGTTACTGCCTTGTCTGAATCGTTCTCCAACATAATTCTCCTGGCTTGCTCTTGCGCTTCCTTCAGGAGAGAGGCCTCTCCTCATAACTCTCCAAAACATCACTGTATCTTACCCCTGTCTCTTGTTTTTTCCTTACTTTGCTTTATTTTTCTGTTGCATGTGACCTCTTCTGTTTTCTGTTTTTTGTGTCATAGTTTGTCTTCCTACACTAGTAGGCATTAGCGTCACGGGAGCTGAGATTTTATTGGTTTTGCTCACTCTGTAACCTCTGGAATAATAATAGTACCTGATACTTCGTAGGTACACAATAAATATTTGTTTATATGAATAAATAGAAATGGAAATATTAATCTTATTTGGACATACTAATGAGGTTGAACTCTTAAATAATTAGTGTCTGAAGTTAGTATACATTGTTTATTTGGAAAGCAGTTTCTTACTAATATATTTAACTCCAGGGTGCCTTTCTACCAAAATATTCCAGCAAGGATAACCAGAAGTTATATATTAGGTAGTACTTTAGTGCCTACATTACCTCATATTAAGCTCCCTTCATTCTACCCACGTACCTCCCCCGCTGCAAGATGTCCTCCTCTTGCCAGTTTCCCCGTTTATAAGAAGGTACCTATGGAGAAAGGCTGAACACAGGCAGAGAAATCCACTGCCTGTAGGAGAAACAGAATATGAAACAAGGAAATAGTAGAGCTCAGAAAAGAATTTGAAGAGCTAATCTTGATGCAGACAGAGTAATAGAAGAGAGCTTGAGGAAGCCCTTGAAACTCCTCAGTACCTGGGAGGGAAACACTGCACATCTCGAGTAAAACCCTCCTGAGTTTGGAATCAGAGGAAAAGTCAGTGTTTATACTCAGTGATTCTTGAGTTGGAATTTGAGGTTCTGTGGTATCTGGTTGGTAAAGAGAGGAAGGACTTTGGGTAGAGAAAAATCTTAAGATAGAACCTTTGTATTTCTCTAAATCATACCTAAATTGATAACGTCCGAAGTAGAATACTTTTTAATTTTTGCACTGTATTAAGTATTGTGACTGCTTTGGTAGAAAGTCCACCATTCAAAAACATGGGTCTAATTAGTAAAAGATGCAGTCCTGCTTTTAATTTTGAAGTAGAAGTTAATTTTGCAAATGGAAAAATCTCTCTACTTAAAATAATTAGCAATTGATTTTTAACAGATTTATTTATTCAATTGTGACATCTAAGTATTCATCAGTGAGAGAAAAAGTAACATCCTGATGGTATAAGGATATGGAATATTATATTGCCAGTTTCTATATTTTCTGTGTAACTTACAGAAGAACGCTGAGTGTTTTAAATTTGTCTATTATTTTGACTTCTCCTTAATTCAAACTGGACATCTCACTAAGTTCCAATTAGTGTTTCATTTGTTAAGTTTGTTCTTTATTTTTCGCAGTATTCTTTGCTTTAAAGTATGTATAAAATTGAAAATACATTACCCCTCTTTTCCAGTGTTAGAGACAAAGGTAGTGCTCAGTGATACCCAGATAAAATATTCGTCTCTCTTGCCTTGTACAAGTAAATTTACTGGGCAATAAAGAGAAGATTGTAGAGAAGTGTAATCTGGAAAATTAAAGGAAAATTTTTGTGGTTTATTTTTGACCGTTGTACTAAACATATAGTCTGCTCTGATTTTCTGAGTCTGATTGTGTTCTTGTTCTTCCTGTGTGTTTTTTGACTCAGTCCCTGGCGTGATAAGTATATGTATTCGCTTATTTACTGTCTTGTGAGGGAGACAGATAATAACACAGGTAAATAGAGTATAAAATGCCAACCAGGAGGATGAAGCAAATAAGGTAGGGTAATGAGAGAAAAAATAAGGAGAGGTGCTCCCTCTCTGTGCTCTAGTTGAAGTCGAGGAGCAGTTTATACTAGAGTTTGGAGGGGTAGCTTTCCAGATAGACAGGCCAGCAAGTGCAGAGGCTCTTGGATGAGAATGTGCCTGGTGTGTTCCAGGAATAGCTGGCTGGAGCAGAGAGATCTAGGGAGAAGTTGTAGGAGAGGAGGCCACTGAGAAATAACCAGGGCCATATCACATAGGGCCTTGTAGGATGTGGTGGAGACTTTGGCTTTTATTCTAGTTACAGGTCTTATGATTCTTTGAAAGGAAAAGTAGGACTCAAACACTTGGGAATTATTAGGAAAAGATGCAGGGTTTTTAGTAGGGTAGTGACACCTCCCCTAAAGAGGAAGGATTTCTTCATTGTAGTACTTGTTTGGGACTATGGGTGTGTGATCAAATCAATACGTTGAACTTTCTTGATTTAAGTATTTCAGTTACTGATGTTTTGCTATTGATATGGATAATATGAATTATCCATATCAGTAGTTTGCTTTGAATAATTGTATATCTCATGCTGTTTGTTTCTGTCTGCCTATTTTAAAATACTGTGATAAGTCATATTCTTAGTCTAATAAGTAGTTCCTTGAAAGTAATTTCTGTTTTGATTAGAATCAAGTTAACTCTTTTAGGTAATTTAGTACATTTCAAAATCACACGCTTCAGCACACTAGAAGGAACCCTAATCATTCAGAAAAATCTAATTATGTATACTAATTGCTATTATATGATTATATTTTAAAAAGAAATGCCTAGATCAGTAACATTTATGAGAAACTATCAGTCTACATCTTTGAAAAAGATTATTTGGTACTCTAAAAATCCTCTGCATTTTATTATTTTAGTTTATATAACTTAGTCATGCTTATTTATAAAATAATATCACAATAAGGATATAAGTTTACTATCTTAAGAATGGAAAGACAATGAAAAGACCCTGTTTTAGGTATGTTATATAGATATCTCAAATATTTAATTCTCACCTTAACCATATGAGGTCAATGATAATATTCCCCCATTTTACAGAAGCTAAAAGTAAAGACAGGACAGATAAATAACCTATCCAGGTTCCTGAAGCCAATAAGTATAAAACTATGATTGAAATCTAATGGGATTTTTTTATTCTACCAGTTTACCAAAGTTGTGATTATAGGTTTATACCCTAGAGATAGCAGATTCTGTTTCAAATAAAGTCACTCCATCCTATGGCTGAAATATAACCCAAGTCAAGCATTTCTAATAAATAAATGCTATTAAGTCAAGCATTTCTAATAAATAAATGCTATTGAGTCATTGGGGCTGGGCAAAGTAGGATGGTGGACTTGATAAAACTTCCCCACTGGAAAAATAACTCAAAGTGTATGTTTTTTTAATGTCCGTCTGAGTAATATTCCTAGAATAATAACTTTTTAGTGATACACTTTTCCAGATGTCCTACAAATTATGTCAATACAAACGTCAATACAAATGATGAATTATTTTCTCAAGTGTTGCTCCTGAGTACTCAGACTTTTATTTCCTATGTATTTTCAGTTTCAGTGCTTAACCATGTTTCTCAGATATGTGTTACTAGAATATATTAATTTGCCATATGGCAAAATTGTGATTATTTATTCTTATTGTTCTGTGATGTAATGAAATGGATATGTTTCTTATGTATTTTATTTCAGTGCTAGTGATGCCATAAAAGGAGAAGGATTGCAAGAAGGTGTAGACTGGCTTCAAGGTACATCCCAAAATATTGTGCATCTTCAGCCTTTATTTCCTTTCCATTCACATTTTTCTTTCCTTTTTAACGTTTTATTTTTATTATATCATTGCCTTTTTCCTCTTGTTTCCATTTATTTCTGCTGTCAGAAAAAACAATACAGTAAGTACGCAATACTTTGCTCCATTTACTTCTATTACATTTTTCTAAAGGATTCATTTAAATCAAGTGTTTGCATCTTTACAATCAATATACATGACAACTCTGGAAAATAATTCTAATTTATGGCAACAGATTTCTATCAGATCTAGTAATAGAAGCACATTTGAAGTTTGGGACAAATTTCAGTCCTTACTGTCAATAACTAAAAATGTGTCTGCATGCCATATCTCTTTTGAGAATCATGCTGCACTCCAGCAGAGCTCCATGTATGCACAGCATGTGCACACAGCTTCTGACACTCACGTTTAGTATTATAAATGCCGGTATTCCATTGGTGTTTTGTATATTGCAGTTCTCCATCAAAGTAGTTGTCATAGGTTGGTACAGGCTTCCCTTGTCAGGGAATAAATTGTCATTTTCCCTAAGTCATGTCCACCAGCCACAGGAATGGCTTGAAGCACGGTGACCCACACAGAGCAGATGTGAATGAAACTGAGTTCTGTAGGGCTTCCTTATTGCAGGGCCGAAGGGTCAGGCCAAAAAATGTTCATTTGTGAGCAGAACAATTGAGAATTATTCCTATTAGGAATCTCCCTGCCCTGAACAAGTGTGAGTAACAAAATATTATAAATTCTAGTTGTAGTCTTGAGGCTATAAATTTAATTTCTGCTACACTAACCTTTTAATGCCAGTTATGTGTGATTTTTTTTACTCTTCCTCATATCTTGGTGGATCTAAGAGTAGCCTGCTTGCCCATACATAGAGAGACGTAATAGTTCTTTGGTTCAAAGCACTAAATGTACATCTGATAAATATTTTTATGTGTTATTAGTAAAATGTAGTATTTTAGTTAACTGCACAGACTGTTGTATTTCTTTCTCTTTTGTGTTTATGTAGTCATCATGACATTTACCATTAAACTGCAAAGAACATTCTAGTCATATTTTACAATTAAGTGCAACTTAATTGAGAACCTCCAGTGGTTCTCAGAAAAACTACTGAGATTTTTCGGTGAACACACCAACTTAGTTTCTTAGACTGTAATAAAGAAGTGGTCGAAGTTATAGGAGTGATTTTCACATAAACAGATGGGTTACAGAGGAACATTCCAGGGAAGACACCAGAAGCGTATTTTAAGCCTTGATTTTTTATTTTACAAGTGCTCATTATTGCTCACAGTGAAGATATAGCATGGATGGAAACCCTACTGTTGTTCATAATAAAATAATTCAATGCACAGTACTTACTGAAAATAGATTGATAGTCATCTGGACTTGAAATTGTAGCTCTGTCTTCCCTTTTTTCTTTTTGGTTTTATTTTGTCTGTAACAGTAAGGCCACTAGGTGTCAGTAATGATCCAGCTTCGCAGTGCCACTTGCCAATGCTGGTCTTATTACCTGATTTTTGTATCTTTGACTTTTCTGATCCATTATCTTTACATCTTACCTCCCAAGTCTTTGTAAGGAGGATACATTACTGGAAATACTTTTGTTCACTTGTGTTGCCATAGTGTTTTATGTAACCTTTACAACAGCCCTCTGCAAGGTAAGTAGTAGTACCCCTTTTACATAGGCAGCACGAGGTGGTAGTTAAAAGCATTAGACTTTTGAGTCAAGCAGATTTATTCCACTACTTATTAACTATTAACCAACATCTCTTCTTATCTTGTGAAGATAATTTTCTTAATCTGTAAATTAAAAAATAAAATGTCAAAAATTGTACAGATTAAATGAAACACTGTATGTGTTAAAATGCCTAGCATAAGAAAACACTCAATGCATGTTAAATTTACCCTTTTACCTAACTGCTCTGTTTAACAGAGGAGGAAACTTAGTACATAGATTAAAAAGTGTATCAGTTTGGTTTTGAAGAGGAAACCTTTTTTCATATGTCCTGTGTCATAGTATGTAGTTTACATTTTGATGTTCTAACTGTCTCTCTGGATTTGATAAAAGGTAAAAACCTATTTTGAAAAACAGGTAGCAGTAAATATAGGCGACTAGTCCTATATTTATTTATATAAACTTTTAGACCAATTTAATCTTATGATTTTAAGGTTGAAAAATTTGGGGTAAAATATTAAATGGCACATTTTGTGCCATGATTCCATTCTCTTTTGGAAGGATTCCCAATAATTACCTATGTATTACAGCCCAAAGACAAGAACCCCTGAGTAGACTATGAAGTATTCTTTAAAACACCAGAGAATATACAGAAACCATTGCAGAAGTATAAGTTGTTTTCTAGCTCTGAAACTTTCAGATGAGATATTTATAAAAAGAAATCTTCCCACGTGACTAATGAAACTTACTCATTTTATCACTTTATCTGTATGGGAAAAGTTAATAATGCTTCCAGGTTTTAATATAAGACTTTTTTTTTTTTTCTCTGGTTTTTTTTTTTTTTTTTTTTGGGGGGAAGATCAGCCCTGTGCTAACATCTGCCAATCCTCTTTTTTTGCTGAGGAAGACTAGCCCTGGGCTAACATCTGTGCCCATCTTCCTCTACTTTATATGGGACGCCGCCACAGCATGGCTTACCAAGCAGTGCATGCCCGGGATCCGAACCGGCGAACCCCAGGCTGCTGCAGCAGAGTGCATGCACTTAACCGCTTGCGCCACAGGGCCGGCCCCAAGACTTTTATAAACTATGTAAATGGGTGTTGCAATGAAAGACAGAAAATCGAACACATACTTAGTTCCATCCCCTCCTCAAATCTCACTAACAGTAAAGGGACTTTTGTTTAAAGACATTAACTCAAAAAGGCAAAAAGAATGGGAGTGACAAAAATGGCAACCAAATTTTGGAAGCTGGATATCTGATGACTATTGAATGACTTAGCAGACCTGAGAAAGCTGAATTCTAAGCTAGCACTGGGGAAAGCTGGTAATCATCCTCATTTACACTGCAGATCCCCTCAAAGTCTCAGATATGGACGGAAATTGGAAATAAGGATGAGGTAGGGCTTAAAAGAGAAAACACAGTTACACATCCTTGCCCCTAAGGAAGATTGAAGGTTCTTTCTCTGCAGAGAGTCAAGCAGTGTGTCTCTGGACAGGAGAACACCAGGCACCACTGTGTGTGGTAGGCTGAACTGAACGTGAGGGGTAACTGAGAGCCTCCATACCGAATATTGTAACCTTTTCTGCCTTCTCCTGCTTCTCCCAGAAGACCCTGGCAGTAGGCAGGAGACAGAAAGGCATCTTTGCGGAACAAGATCAGCCTAAGACAAAGACGTAAAGGTATTAACATCCAAGATTCCCAAGGAAATGGCTTAACTAGATATGCTAGAATGAAGACCACATATGAGAAGATCGCCAAGGATCACCAGCCATTTGAGGACCAAAACGTTATGAATTGTGGAACATAAACAAAGAAACAAAAATAGGTTAGAGGAAGTAGAATTTATTTAGGGAGAACATTTCAAGAAACTACTAGAGTATTCTCAACGAGAGAAGAGAAGGCATTACTTTCATGAAGATGACTAGGATACTACTTGAAAGGGAGCAATCAGAACAAAAAAATGAGTTATTGAGAAATAATAAGAATAGTAGAAATAGAAAACTCAATTAAATGATAATAAAATAGAGGCAGTCTGTCAGAAAGTAGAGCAAAAATACAAAGAATAGAAAATTGGAAAGAAAAAAATAAGAAAGTAAAGAGTCATGTTTAGGAAGCTCAATTTCCAAATAATAGGAATTTCAGAAAGAGAACAGAGAAAATAGAAGGGAGAAAATCATCAAATAAATCATCAAACAGTATTTTCCAGAACTGAATGGTGAGTTTTTAGTTGAAAGACCTCTTGAGATTCCAATGCAGTGGATGAAAATATTCCCTCGCCAAGGTGCATCATTATTAAAATTCAACACTGAAGACAATGGAAGATTCCACAAGCTTCCTGAGAAGACATAAGAGGTTTCATGTAAAGGATAAGGAAACAATAGCATCACACTTCTCAAGAGCAGCACTGGGAAGCTGTAAGATAATTGGGCAATGCCTGGAAAAGTCCAAGGAGAGAATAATGGAATTACATTCTCAGGCAGTATCAGTATGTTGTGACTGTAGAATTAAGATGTCTTCAACCATGTGAGTTCTCAAGAATTTACTTCCTATACCTTTTACTAGGGTAGCCACTGAGAGGTGTACTCCTCAAAAACAAGAGAATAAACCAAGAAGAAAAAATAAGGGACCATGAAACAGGAAAACCAGCCCAAGACAGTGGGGGAAGGAATCCCCAGGATGATAATGGAGGTCGTAGAGTGATAGTGAAAGATCTTGCAAAAATAACTGGGCAAGCACAGAGAACAGCTTGTCCAGATTCGGAAGACTAGGGGAGAGTCCATCAAGAAAGTGAAATTGATAGATTGTGTGATGTGCTTCATAATAATAAAGATTTAAACAATGCAGGAGTCATGGGATTGAATTAGTGTTAAGTATGTTTGAAAAACTAAGCAGAGAGGCAGGGTTGAGGGTGAGGAACAATTAACTTCGGGGAAAACAAAATGTAGTAGAAGGAAGGAGGAGCAGCCGGAGTATGCCCCTGTCTCAGCTGTGCGTAGTGTTGAGTCGTCCGTTGGTGAATGACGAGGTGACTGTGTTAGGAGAAGGGAGCCGTGGGAGCACTATGAGGGCTGCTGAGGAGCAGCATAGAGCATGTGAGAACTGGAGCCTTCTGCCACGTTGAAGGAACTGGTATTTCAAGAAGTCATAATAAAAGTGTATTGTTTAAAGAGGTAATCACCTGAAAGGAAGTTGGAAGTCGTTGCCTCTGAAAGGAGAAAGAGGAGACGAGGCAAGAGACTGCTGGTTTTAGTACAAGAACTAGTTTTAGAACTAGTTGTGGAACTAGTTGACTCTAACTATGTGCATGTACAACTTGATGAAAAAGACTACAGTATGAATTGTGCTTTAAAAAAAACAGGTGTATGCAAAGGTTTCTACCATATTCTTATAGATTTGTCTTGGATTACTTTAGAAAATGGATTTTACTGTGTCGAGACTGATAATTTTTTGTTTGTTTTTTGTTATCAGATCAGATCCAGGCTGTGAAGACATGAAAAGATAGTATTTGGAAACCTCAGCAATTTTCAATTCAAAGAATATATCTAAGGCAAACTAAATACTTTAAATTTTTTGAAAGATGTTTGTGCATCTAAGAATACTTTATAATCTTCTTCTTGCATTTATGGACTCTGAATGAGCTTTTAAAGAGCATAGGACTTCAGGTATGCTAATCTGGCCATTAATTTTATGAAAACTAAATCTTTCCTCAGAAGGGCTCCCCAGAATTATCAACTTCTTGGTAAAAGTCTACATTTGATTGTAATAGGAATGTTTAAAGGTCAGAGTTATAAACCATCTCAGTATCTCATCATGATTTATGATATCTTTAAATTGTCTTCTAAAACTTTAGTTTATGGTATGACTTTGCAGTATGATTGTGCTTGCGAAAAAGAACTTTAAATATTTATAAGGGACTGTGGGTAATTAATATATATTAAAATTTTACTATATGTCACCATCAGTGAAACAAAATGTATCAACTAGTGTGCTTTGATTATGCTGAAAAGAATAATGCTGTGCTAATATGGTATTTGGTGTTTTACTGTCAAGAATTTGTAAATTATCTGAGACCAAGTTAAGCTGAATTTATCCAGTGAATATGTATTGCACATCTCTACACCTTATTAGTCTGGCGTTGTCCTAGGCAATGGTGACACAAGGTAAATAAGACATATTCCTATCCTCAGAGAACTTAAAAGTTAATGAGGGGAGAATTTGAGAACCTTTTCATTCATAGTATCCTATTTTATTTCATTGGCTGAATGAAAATACTGCATCTTAAGATTAAGAGATATAAAAATGAATTAATGTGTGATTCTTCAATAATTATTATAACTGACTTCTTGTTTCTTCCTTTAAAATGCCTCCAATTTACTATAGTGCTTTGTTAAAATAGATTGTGACTCACCAAACTGGGTTTTCCCTGAGCATAAAATGCTACAAAAATGTCCGTTAGAATTTTAGACATAAATCAGGCATTTACTGTATGCAAATTGTGTTACTTCCCACAACTTAGAGACCACTTATAATTGTGAACTCTAAGTAGAAGCTTTCATTTTAAATTAATCACTGGGAAACAGTGTTTAGAGTGATGGTGTCAATTCTGAAAAACATTAAATGTAAAGAAAACCTGGAATATACAGTCTATAACATCTTAAACATCCTTAGCTGTCAAAATGATAAAAACAGAAGGCAAAAGGTAAGTGAGTAACACAGATGTGTTATAGTAACTGCAGTAGTGGTATGTTTCACAGAGATTTGAATAAAATAATTCTAAAACTACAGCAAAAGTTCTATAATCCAGTTTCTCTTAGTCCGGAAATCTCTGGAATTTGGAATTTGGCAAATTGAAAGTTATTAGAATATTCCAGTGGTCCAGCATTTTAGCTCGTTTGCCAGCCTCTCATAAATTTTGATGAGGACCAAGTGATGCTCTTTAATCTAGCGTTACCACAGATACAAAAAGGACATGATGATGAAAGCCCTGAATGTCATTTCACAAAGACTGACGTACTCTAACTATGTTAGGAGGATGGAGAAGGGGTGTTATAAGAACTCAAATCCTCCTCTACCATAAGGTAACATTACAGTAATAATAGCTGTCAGTCTGTGATCACTGTGTTTTGAGCAAGATATTATTACACATATGGGATTTTGCATCATTTAATCCTTACAGTAACTTATGTGTTAGGTTCCATTATGGGTGTTATAGACAAGGAAACTGAGGCTAAAGAAGTTATTTGCTGAAGGTCACGGAGCTAGTGGACGGTGGAGCTGAGATTCAGAACCCCACAACCTGTTGAGAACAAATGATTCAAGAGACAAGAGTGTTACAGACAGTAGACCCATTAAGCCGTCTGCCGTCAGAATGGCTAAAAGGACAGAAGAGGCTCTCACTGGGGTGGGTGACCAGGATGGGGTGGGAGGAGGTCAGAGTCAAGGGACTACTGCTTTTGTTTTTTTGCTTCTTTTAAGTCTATTAACACTTCAGATTTTAAACTCTGGGCATAAATGACTAGGATAACAATAATTCTTACAACTATATTGATACTAAGTTAATTAGTATTCCACAAACTACACTAATTCACACCTATGCAAATACAAGAAAGAGAACTACTGATTTTTTCCTTTGTTTCCATGATCTCCAAGTCTAGTTTACCATCTATAAACATCCATTCCTACTCTACCTTTTTGTGTAAAGATTACGTAGAAGCAAGTTGGGCTACAGTAGTCATAGGATGCTGTGTAACTGTGTATAAGCTGAGGTTATTGCATTTGTATTTAACATATTTTGCGATTAAAATTCATTGCATTAAAGCTCAAGCAAGTGTTTTTTCATGTTTATACATCACTGTTACAAAGTTTAATTCATTAAACTCTACTTTTCACTGTCACACCTCATAAAATGTTCAAAACTTACGCTATTGTATGTTTTGCATTTAAATATTTATATGTGGCCCTGTGCCTTGTAAATCACAAAAGGGCTGAGTTGTATGTGTTTGTTTTTCATTTATAGGTTGTCTGCTAAAAATTATGAATTATCTTCTGATTGCTTAAGTTATTTTTTCCCTTTGGAATTTTGGCACACCACATTGTGATTTCCATGAATATATGCAGTTACTCTTTAGAATACTTAAGGCAAATACATCCTGCATGTAACTCTGGTACATTAAAATACTGTAGCATTTTAATGGACTTTGTGCATACTTTCTGCTCTCTGATTATTCCCCTTTCTTAGTTTAAAAAATAAAATTGATATTGGAAGTTGACTTAAACGGATGTTAAAATAGGTTTGTCCATTTCTGTGGCTGGAGAGAAATACTGTGATCATTGAGAAATGGTTATGGTGTTTAATTGACTATTTCAGGTAACTTAGTGATTACCTTTTCACAGTGGTGTTCCTCCTGGGGTTTGCAAGGGACTAACTCAGGACCACACTGACTATCCCTTCTCATCATGAGATTTTGATGCGACACTTGGAGGCTTCATCAACATATAAGGTTAAACTTTTCTAGTGTTTTAGAATAAACCAAGAGAGACAAAGTAAATCCTTCTCCAAATTTCAAGTCATCAAGTAATGCTAGAAGTCATAGAAGAATAGTAGGTATTTTGAAAATAAAATTTGGTTAGAAATATTGTAGTAATAATAAATAATTTTATAGCTTTTACTATGTGCCAGGCACTTCCTAAGCACTTTACCTCTATTAACTCATTTAACCCTCTTCACAACCCTGTGAGGTAGATGCTGTAATCTCTATTGTATAGATCAGGGATCAGCAAACTTCCAGTCTGTTAGTGTAGGGCCCTTGAGCTAGTAATGATTTTACATTTTTGAAGGTTTTTTTTTTTTTTGTGAGGAAGACTGGCCCTGAGCTAACATCTGTGCCCATCTTCCTCTACTTTATATGGGACGCCACCATAGCATGGCTTGATAAGTTGTGCGTAGGTCTGCACCTGGGATCCAAACCCTCGAACCCCGGGCTGCCAAAGCGGAGCACGTGAACTTAACCACTACACCACCAGGCCAGCCCCCTAAAGGGTTATTTAAAAAAAAAAAAAATAAGGAGCAACGGATACTGTATGTGGCTCACAAAGTAGTAAATTATTTACTGTCTGGGGACTTAACGTAAAACCTTCGCCAACCCCTGTTGTAGATGATGGAAGTGGGGAGAGAGGTTACGTTAACTTGCCTGCAGTCATACTGCAGATAAGCAGAGGACCTTTGATTTGAGTCTAGACAGTCTGGTCCCAGAGGTTCTTAACCTCTACAAGTATTCTCAAAAAGCTAAAGGTTATTCTAAAATGGAATAGAACAATTTGAAATTACGTCTTTCTTAAATAATTATATTAAAGATGAAAAATTATATGCAAATGGTTGAAAAGTAATGCTCTTTGAAATCCCTTGTGAGATTGATGTCTTGGCCTTCTGAAGTCTTCTTCCTTCCTTCTCTTTAAATGGGTGGCGACAGAGGGGCAGACTCTGAAACATCAGATCTGTTAGTATTTCAAAATGTAAGCGCACACACGTACTGTCCCCAAGCATCTGGCTTGGACTTGCAGGTTTCCCGGGGACTTTCACCAATATTGTGAGGTAAATGATAGCTAGTGTTGATAGTCTTGAAATGTATGTGGTAAAATGTGGAAACATTTATAATTTAATTTGTGGATGTGCATTTTAAGTTGAGACCACAAGTAACAACTATAGCTAAAAATATTTTCTTAATTACAAACATTTCATGGTTATGCCTCAGTGTTCTAAATTTTTGCCATTTGAATGGTGGAAAAGCATATATCCATAAAGGACTAGGCCTGGAAATCAGTCTCTCTCTGTCTTACTCTCTCTTGGAAAAGTTTATAAATTCTTCCAAGTATTTTATGAAATTCCATAATGTTATAGTAAAATATTACTAAATAGGTTTATGTTTCTTCCAGTTAAATGACATCATTAATGCTGGAGTTAAAGCCAACTTCGCATTAAGCTCTGTCTTCTTGGGCTCCGTGGAGTGTGTGTGTCAGGACGCACCTTCCGGAGGTCAGGTCACAGGAAGGTCATACTTCACCCACGTCAGTGGCCGCTGACTTTTCCCCGGGGCTTTCTTGGACAGAATTATAGACATATCTTGCAAATATGTTATTCTTACTATGTTTTATGGTTTTTATTTTGTTGTTGTTTGTTTTTGTAACTCTTAAATGTGATACATCAACTCTTGCCATTTCTGGAAACCTTACTGTCTATTTCATAGAGTTTTTAAGGCATTTTTTAGGTGCTGGATTATTAGTGTCTTAAATACTGTCCACTAATTCAGTGAATTTAATTGATAGATTCACAAAATATCACTTAACCCTTTTCACATTGTAAAACCCCCATACTGTAAATAATTTCATTTCACTTATGCATATTAGGACAAGATTTTTTAAGAATAAATAAAAAGATTTCTGAGACTATCAACGTGGTATTTTGTTAATGTTATTCTAATATGAAGTATATGTAACACAGGACTATTTTTTGTGTGTGTGAGATCAGCCCTGTGCTAACATCTGCCAATCCTCCTCTTTTTTTGCTGAGGAAGACTGGCCCTGGGCTAACATCCATGCCCATCTTCCTCCACTTTATATGGG